CCTTCTTGCATAACCAAAATGTAACTGTTAAAATTTTTCATTTTAATATACTTTTTAGTTACCTAACTATACCACCATTAATACATCTGACATTGAGTCACTTTTATCTTATTACTCCTGGTTGTGCCTTCTCACTCCCTCAGCCTTTGCATATACCATTTCCCAAGTCTAAAACATCTCTATCTTGACCAACAAACCATATCTCATTATCAACACTGAAGTACAATTCAGTCCTTGAGGAAGTTTTCTTATTAGGCAAAAGAAAATTGAGACTTTGCCTCAACATTTCAATCTAAAACTGAGCTATCTTGGCTATTTTAGCAGCTTAAACTAATGCTAATGCTGTATTTTCTCCATGTGAATTCTTAATCTAGCCAAATTAAGTAGAATAGTTAAAAATAATCCCCGAATGTGCTTAACCTGAATATGTTTCCTGTAAACCTGCAGAAGTCAGACGATTAAACTTCTTTCCTTTATAAACAGCAATGCAACAACAGCCTAGCAGACTACATTCATACTTGTATAACTTGTTCATAAAAGCTCATGTACAAGCTCATGTACAGCATTATTCCTAACAGCCAGAGTAAAAAAGCAAATGTTCACCGACTGATGAACAAATGTGATATATGTATACAATAAAATATTATTCAGCCATAAAAAAATGAAGTCCTAATACATGCTAAAACATAGATAGACCTGAAAAACATTAACCTAAGTAAAGAAGCCAGACATCGAAGGCCAGATATAATTCCATTCATATGTGGACTGTCCACGGAGACAGAGTAGATTAGTGGTTTCCAGGGGCTGGAAGAGAAGGATATGAGTCACTGCTAATGAGTACAGTTTTTTTTTTTTTTGAGGTAATGAAAATATTCTTGAATTAGTGGTAATGGTTGTACAATCCTGTGAATATATTAAAAACCACTGAATTGTACATTTTTATAGTGGATCTCATGGCATATAAATTGTATTTCAATAAAAAAAAGTAGATGATACTTGCTTCTCCCTTTGTAAGGTTAAGAACTGGAACCAAGTCTTGTTTATTTCCTTATTCTCAATGCTTGAGTACTTAAGCATACAGTAAGTGCTGAGTAAAAACTAAATGACACTGTTATACTGTGCATACCTGTGGCTGCCTAAAGGCTCTCAATACCATGTCTTTCCAGGCCTACAATCCCAAACTACCTCCCCGGTATTTTTATAGGCAGTATGGAGAAAGAACTGCACTTAGGATTAGTAGTTTGGACTTAAAATTCCATCTTTTCTATCTATCATGTGACTCCAGGAAAGTCACTAATGAAACTGCCTGCATTAGTTCATTTTCACACTGCTATAAAGATACTACCTGAGGCTGGTTAATTTATAAACAAGAGGGTTTAATTGACTCACAGTTCTGTATGGCTGGGAGGCCCCAGGAAACCTACAATCATGGCAGAAGGAAAAGGGGAAGAAGGCACCTTCTTCACACGGTGGCAGGAGAGACAGTGTGCAGAGGAAACTGACACTTTAAAAACCATCACGTTTTGTGAGAACAGCATGAGAGAAACCACCCCCATGATCCAATCACTTCCTACCAGGTCCTTCCTTCCACAAGTGGAGATTACAATTCGAGGTGAGATTTGAGTGAGGACACAGAGCCAAACTGTACGACTGCCTTTGTAAAAATTATATCAGTGAAAGAGGATCTGATCTAACAAACCTCCCTCTTTCTTGCGTTTAGCCTTCATGCTGACATTAATGATTCCTGGGCTTGAGACAAGCTGATTTAGGAAGACATTTAGTTTATAATTTACATGATGATAGCCCTCCCCAAAACTCCACTGCCTTTGTAAAGTTAAGGAGATACCACCAGATTAGGAGGAAAGGAGCCTGAATTCTGCTAAGGTGTTGACATAAAGGACTGCCAGCCATTATCCTGGAGGTCATAAGATAGATAACTTCCTCAATTACTACTGCAGATAACAATCACTATTGCTGAACCTAAGAATGGCCTTTTAAGATATTTTTTATATCTTAAACCTCTGCAGTGAGGTTTCTCACATGTCTGACCCAGATGATGGCTCCAGCTGGACCCAACAAGCCCTCCTGTGGCCCCACCCAAAAGTGATTCAGCAAGTAAGAGGGATCATTTACCACACACATATGACTGCATCCCCCAGCCAATCAGCAGCAAGCACCCATTGCCTAGCTGCCCCCACCCCTTCCTCCAAACTACCTTTGAAAAACCCCTAAACTGCCAGGCATAATGGCTCACGCCTGTAATCCCAGCATTTTGGGAGGCTGAGGAGGGTGATCACCTAAAGTCTGAAGTTTGAGACCAGCCTGGCCAACATGGTGAAACCTTGTCTCTACTAAAATACAAAAATTAGCCAGGCGTGGTGCTGTGCGCTTGTAATCCCAGCTACTCAGGAGGCTGCAAGAGAATTGCTTGAGTCTGGGAGGCGGAGGTTGCAGTGAGTCAAGATCGTGCCACTGCACTCCAGCCTGGGTGACAGAGCTAGACCCCATCTCAAAACAAACAAACAAACAAAAAAAAACCCCTCTAAACTACAAGTCTTCAAAGAGATTGATTTGAGTAGTAACTCCATCTCCTTCGTGGTGTGGGCGGCCTCATGTCAATTAAACTCTTTCTTTACTGCAATGCCATGGTCTCTGTGAATTGATTTTGTTTGTGCAGTGTGCCGAATAAATCTGTCAGGCAGTTTTACTAGCCTCTATAAAACAGCAACATTACATATCAGGTGATTTTAAGTATTAAACTTACATACTGCCTGTGAAAGCGCTTCGCAAAATACAAGCTCTTAACTTAGAAATGTTACTTTTTAATTTATATTATAAAACTTTGGCCGGGTGCAGTGGCTCATGCCATAATCCCAGCACTTTGGGAGGCCGAGGCGGGTGAATCACGAGGTCAAGAGATCGAGACCATCCTGGTCAACATGGTGAAACCCCATCTCTACTAAAAACACAAAAATTAGCTGGGCATGGTGGCGCGCGCCTGTAGTCCCAGCTACTCGGGAGGCTGAGGCAGGAGAATTACTTGAACGCAGGAGGCGGAGGTTGTGGTGAGCCGAGATCGCGCCATTGCACTCCAGCCTGGGTAACAAGAGTGAAACTCTGTCTCAAAACAACAACAACAACAACAAAAACTTTCCATTCGATATAGTCCAGTCCTCTCATCATCAACAAAACTACCATTTCCTCAGCCAAAAAAGGCTTCTCCTAACATTAGGGAAGCAATCGGATTAAGAGAATTCATAGTATGTTAGTGATTTCTGAACAATTTTGTTAATAATAGTGCATTGTATTCAGAATTTTTGCTAAATGAGTAAATTACAGCTGCTCTTCTAGGAGCAAGGGGATTGGTAATTATGTGAGATGATGGATATGTTAATTTGTTTTACCATAGTAACCAATTTACTCTATGTATGTATAACATCACGTTGTTACCTTAAATATACACAAAACTTTAAATAAAAATTTTTAAAAAGTTTGAAGCTATAGAAATATCTTTAAAACTCTTACATAAGCCCATTAAAACCCACAAAAACAAAACATTGAACTGCAGCCACAGAAACAATCATGGGTGCTACTGTCAAAACAGTTTCAGTGCTCCTTGTTCCTGTGGTGACCCTGGACTCCAAGATATGAAAGTAACTCATACAATGCATAAAATAATTCAGTATAACGCTGGCAGATTATATTTACATTAAAAAAATTCTTTTAACTGAAACAAACTGCTTAAATTTCAGAAGGATCCAAAGGATACTTGTCTTCAGTTGAAAGGGGCAAAAGGCTTCACTCAAAGGTCCTTCATATTCCATCTATTCCTCTTCTTCAACATTTCCCCTCTCAGTAGAAGCCTCAAAGTGTCTAACATCTTGGCCTTTCAACCCCATCCTTTTCCCAACTGACTACCCCTTTCGGACCTAACAGAAAAACAACAAAGATCTAACCACATTTTGGACCTGGGTCTTCTCTCTGGCTCCAGGAGTGCATCATTTGACACAACGTTTGCCTGTGGCAGGTGGTAGAAAGGGAGGAACTAGTCTTTTAGCAAAGGTGATATTAATCTACCAGTATTGTACTTCTGTTTAGACAGTCCCATAATTTGCTATTCATATGACATTCAATTTCCCAGAACTTTAAAATATTGAGAAATGCTAGTTTTAGCAAACGAACTTTTCAAGGCTCAAATATTTAGATTTAACTTTGTTTAACTGACAAATAACAATTGTGTCTACTTCTGGTGTACAACATAATGTTCTGATCTGTGTTATAGAAAGATTGAATCAAGCTAATGAAGATATCTAACCCCACTAACCCATCATTTTTTTGGGTGAGAATATTAAAAATCCATTTTAGCAATTTTTAAATATATAATACACTATCAGTCAACTGTGGTCACCATGAAATGTAAGGGATCATTAAAATTTATATACAAAATAACTGAAATTGGTACATCAGATAAATTATCTGCACTCCCATGTTCACTTCAGCATTATTCACAATAGCCAAGATATGTAAGCAATCTAAGTGTCCATCAATGGGTGAATGGATTTTTTTTAAATGTGGTACACATATACAGTGGAATATATCACATAGCCTCTAAAAAGAAGGCAATTCTGTCATCTTGCAACAACGTGAATGGAACCAAAGGACATTATGCTATGTATAATAAGCCAGGGAGAGAAAGACAAATACTGACTAATCTCACTTACATGTAGAAACTAAAAATGTCCATCTCATAGAAACAGAGTATAGAAAGGTGGTTAACTAGAGGCTTGAGGAGAAGGTGGGTGGGGAATGGGGAAAGACAGGATGTTGATGAAAGGTACAAAGTTTCACTTAGACTGGAGCCTTTTAGTGATTCAGACTCTACACTTTAGAAATTGCTAGGAAATGTTGATTACGAATTTTAAAAAAAACACCTGAAATAAAATAAATACTCTAACTCTCTCATTAAGTTTAATGAAGCTTCATTCAACTTAAATACAAACCTGTATGGGTGGAATGTCTGGCAGTGACGGAAGGTTTTCTGGATTGGTAACTGAGGGAATTAGCTCTATTGCTGTAACAGATGGGCTTGTGGGGCCTCGGTTTGCATTTGCCATAGTTGCTGTAGTAGGGCTTGTTGGGTTGATTGTGGTGTTGTGCACCGATACTACAGGAAAGGGTCCAGCATGCCCTGGGTTTGAGTGCTAATAAGAAAGAAGACATTGTAATTATTTGATCTGCCAGAATAGCTGAATATAAACTATACCTTTATAATTTTTAGTTTAGGAAGGAAACAGAAGAAACAAAATGGGCCTTTTCAAACTTATTCAGGAGAAGAACAGTTCAAACTTAGCCTTTTCATTTTTCTATTCATTTTTGTATAGTATCTAGGAAAAGACAGACTTCCCAAAAATTTCCTAACATGTCAGCCTGGTGATATGACGCTATTTCAGAACAAGAAAGTATGTACAGAGGATCTGTAAGCCTTCAAGTTTTCAAACACCAGGGAAAGAGAACTACCATTCTGTCTATATTCCTCTTCCACCCTTAGTCATTTTTCTAATAAAAACAATTATGCAATGCAGCTTGATGTGGTAGAAAGAACAATGAATTTACAGAAAGGAAAAATGGCATCAAGTCCTGACTAATACTGTGTGACCTTAGACAAATCACATAATCTCAGTCATTTAGAAATGTGGATAACAATACCTCACTTGTTGCATTGTGAAGGCTGTCATGAGGATCATTTAAGACAATACAGAAAAAAATATTTAGAAAAGAAATTATACACATATAAATAAATTATTTGAAGTATTTTAAAAACTAAAAATGCTTAATAAAATTATGTGATTTCTGCAGGGGTATATCCAAAGTCTAAGGAAAGTGTTCTGAGATGATTCATGAATCTGATTGTGTAGCCTCTGTGCTCTGACAAGGTGTACTTGGCCCCTGGAAATACTTGCAGGCCTGCCATGAACTAAGGGATACATGACTATGTGAAGAGAGTGAAGGCAATAAATATTCAGATCCTTTTGTATGTACTCTTTAAAAAGAAAAAAAAATCTGATTTGCCTCCATGCTCTGTTTGTTGGATCTTCTTTTCCACCACTTTCACAACTGCCCTTCCCCGGCCCTTGACAAAAGACCACCACCCCTTTGACCATTCCTAAATCTTATTCTAGAAACATTGCACCAGGAAGGAAAAAAACCTGCAGAAATAATTAACAATACAATTGGAAAGAATAATGTTGGGTGTCTGACTCCAAAACCTGGGTAAAAAATCTTCAAATGGGTTCAAATATCTGATGTTTAACAAAAATGAGAACCTGAGGAAGTTGTCACTGATGAAAAGTTTTTAAATAGTTTTGATGGATTGTTTTCTCAGCTTATAATCTAGAAAAAAATTCAAAGAATTGAGGGATATTACTATAATAAAATTATTTTAATTCCCAAATACATAATTTTGTAAACAAGTTTCCTGAGCATTACATAAAAACAAATCCAAAAACTAGTAATAAAAACAAATGTCGAATTTTGACTTATTTTAAAAATAAGTGACAGCATAAAACATACATAACCAAAAGGAGGAGGTAAAAAGCCTCCATCTGGCTCTAAGAAATGTATATACAAAAGACTTTCGTATCTTCTAATACTCTTAAACCATGTAAATACACACATTTTGTTTCAACAATTGTATAATATAGTGTTAATTTGGTCCACAGAAAAAGTTTCAAAGCTTAACAATAACCTTACTGTCATGGGAAATTTAACAATTTGTTACAACAAACATTTTTTCCGGCAGAAAATTACAATAGGCTAATCTATATCTATCAAACAAAACTGTATTACAGTAAGATTAAACTCTGTTGAGGAAGGAGAAGTGAAAATCAAGTCCAAGGAGAACTTGCTAGGGTATTTGGAATTTTGGTGAATTCATTTAAAATAATGTAGAGGTTTTTTAACTTTATACCATCAATATTTATTATATGCTATAAAGTATAGCTTTTGAAACTATTTAAACTTAAACCTCTAATAGAAATTTTAAATGAAAGCCTTCAATGTGAGGGAGTATATATTTTTCTTTCTCTTTCTCTCTGTCTCTGTCTCTCTGTCTCTCTCTCATTCTCTCTCTCTCTCTTTTTTTTAAATAGAAGCACAGTCTTACTATGTTGCCCAGGCTGGTGTCGAACTCCTGGGCTCAAGCAACCCTCCTGCCTAGGCCTCCCAAAGAGCTGGGATTACAGGCATGAGCCACCACTCCCAGCCAAGAAGCGTGTATTTTAAAAAGTACGTTCTAGGGGTACACGGACCAAAAAGCTGAAGGACCACTGTTAAAGGACAGCGTTTCTCCAACTTTAGTATGCAGATTGCCCTGAGAGACTTTGTACAAATTTAAATATTGCTGAGTACTCCCCTTGTAGAAACTCTGATTCAGTGATTATGGCTAGGAATCTATTCTGACAAGGTCCCTCACCCCACCCAAGCTGACTGGTAATTCTCATGGTCTTTAGAACACGTTTTAAGAAACATAATTCTAAGAGTTAAAAAAAACCCTCTATTATCTTGTAACTAGAAATTCTATTAAAAAGTAACCTCACTTTATATGCATCTCCCACATAAATATAACTTACTATTTACATCCTAAAATGAACAATATTAAAGGTAAAAAAAAAATATATATATATAGTTAGCTCTACTCTCAAAGCCCTTTTTATATATTAGGATCAAAAGTCACATTAATAGAGCAGAGGAGCATTTTCAGGAAACTAAGTTTATTGCTATTTTATCATTACCTCTTGTGATTGTAGGTAAAATCATCAGCTCATTAGATTTGCTTTTCACTTCTGTAAACTGAATGCGTTAACTACATCAGGGTTTATTAAGCCATAGTATATGATGCACTTAAAGGGATTTTTTAAAAGCTCTTTAAATTAAATACAAAATCTTACGTGTATGTTTACTTTTCTGGGACAAGAAGATATATGGCATTAATCAAATTCTCAAACATATCAATGACCTGCTCCCAAAAGTGCTTAAGAAAAATGGTTTCTTTTAGTTTTAAAATTGTAGGATTCTTACAAATGTAACTCTAGGCATACTTGTCTTTGGAGGTGTGGCTGCATCATGGAATATTGAGGGCCGCTGTGCCTGGGTATCCCTGGTATTCTGGCAGCATTCTGAGCCAGTCTCATTTGATGGGCTTGAAAAGCTCCACAGTTCATGTTGCCTCTTTGCATTGTTTGCACACTGATCAATCGAGGAGGCTACAAAAAGTAGAAATTGCAATTTATGTAATAATTTTAAAATAAATTTATCTTTCAATTATAAAAATAACTGAGTCAAGATAAAAGGGTATAAAGTAAGAAGTATAAATAATTCTTATCGCTAATCCCCAGAGGACTGGTAATGACTAGTTTGTGTATCACTCCCAATTTCCCTTTTCTCTCTCTTTCCCGCTCCCTCTCTTTTTCTCTGTATGTGTGTTTAAAGCGTATCAACATTAACTTATCCCATCCTGGAGTAATATTTTAATTGGGAAGGCAGTGGAAAGAGCAAAAGATACCCAGGGATAGGAATGATTTGAACAAATGCCTAAGGAACACATCAGATCCTAGGCAGAAACAATCTGGTCCTTTGGTCCACACAATTGTAAGTGGAAAACAAAAAAGATCTGATGTGAAAGGATGAGAAGTTAATCCTTCCAGAGTATTAGTTAATTAACTGTTTCCCTAGACAAGTTATTTACTTACTTCCTTTCTTCACACCTCCCTTACATCACCATCATAACCTGAGCAAATATTTAAACACTGACGTTTGAGCTCTGCTCAAAGTCCTGCTAGTAACCTTGAAATGTGTAACTTATCTAATATAGAAAAAAGTATAGTGCTGGGGGCTTTATAATTTCTATCAATAATGCAGCAACGCATACTTACCTGTTGTTGTAACATCTGAGGGGCTGCTTGTCTAGGATGCTGCTGTGTTGTTGTTGTTGTAGTAGGTACAGGTGCTGGTGGTTGCTGCAACCTCATCTGTTGCAACTGCTGATGTTTCTGTGCATACACTTGTTGTTGCATGTGCTGAAGTCGAAGCTGTGCTAAGTTAATCTGTCCAGGGGTCTTACTAATGTGGTTTGTCCCTGGAGGAACTTGCCCAACTACTACATTAGGAGTATAACCAGGAGCTGGTTTATTCTCTATTACTAGATTACCTGAAAAATTTAAAACATGAGAAGAATTTGCATATAATCAACTAAATCATCTATTTTGCTGAGTAATCACAATGTTTTCCTCTCTTCTCTGACAACTATCAGCACCTCAAAGCTCCAACAGTACAGCAGGAAATGGAGTCCATTTAAAGATAATGATGATCAGAAACTTAATACATTGCAAAGCTGAATAAATGACTTTTGGTTATTCAGAAAAATATATTTCCTGTCCTTACTCTTTTTTACTCAGATGTATAGAAAATTAAGAGATTATAAGAGGTATCAGATGAGGCCTGTCTAATCAATCTAAATCAATTCTCCCATGACAAGACTTACTGAAGGATACTCAAGATTGCTAATGCTGATTGCATCTGCCTTTGAATTGCCAAAATGTGCAAGGCAGAGCATTACAATGCCACAAAATCATCTTCTCTGGAAATACTGAACGCTTTAAACAATTTATATCCTTAGAAGTGATGGTTTTCCTTGCTTTTTACAGAGCCACTGCTTTCTAGGGATAGAAACCAAATTTTAGGAAGATGTGATTTAAGGGACAGGTGGACATGCTTTCCCTGTAAATGGGCCATAGTGTAAATATTTTATGTTTGGCAGGCTACATTAGCTCTGTCTCACAGTCCTTGGTTTTTGTTTTTACAACCACTTGAAAATGTAAAAACCATTCTTAGCTACAATGTCACACAAAAACAGGTGGCTGATGCCAGAACTAAGGCTATAGCTAAATTTGAATATAATTTTTTTCTTTTATAAAAAGATTAGGTTTTTTTTTTTTTGTAAATAGGAGGCCAACCAGCCTCTGCTTTTATAATTCCCACTGTTTAGGACTTAACTGTTCTGAAAGTGAGTTTACTCAATCTGCAGATAGCTCTGTAACTGCTAGGAAGCTTGTGTGTATGTGTTTTAATTGAGCTCTCTGTAACTTTCACCGATGGTCTTTAGCTCTCTACTATGCTGTAATAAAAGCAAAATCCATTTCTCTTCCATGTGAAGAGCTACTGTTATCTTTCAAACATTCCTCAAGACATAACTATTGGACACATCAGCATCCCATAAGTCCGCCGCTAACGCACAATACGGCTTAAACATTTAAACATTTATGAAATTCTCCAGACAATGAACCATTTGCTAAGATTTCTATATAAAACAGTCAATATAAATTTAAAAGATCGGGGGTCTAAAAACAGTACACATTAAAAAACAATATACAGAGTAGACTCTCAACTTTCTTAAGATGTAATGACAGCCTTACAAAACCACAGCTAAAGTGAGTTTCCAATGAATAACAGACTTTCTAAGTAGTTTTACATTTTAAAGTTAAAAATTTTATCTAAATTCGCTTTAGATGTCTTCTCCTAATTCGGTGTTCCAAGTTATATTCATAAAACCCATTATTTCTCACCTAAATTGACTACATTCTTTGCCCAGAAGGTGGGATCACAATGGAAACGTATTGCTCCATTAGCAGCAGGGACAGGATCACACCGCGCTTTCAAAATGTGACGCAACTGAAAAGTAATCTTAAAGGGAAAAATATCCACATTAGTCTCAAAATTAAATATCAATTGGGAAAACATAAGATAAAGACATTAAGAAAAAAAGCACATATATTCTCACAATGTCAGCCTCAGATTAGGCAGTGTCAATATTTAAGTTAGCAATCAAATCAAATGTACATGCTTGAATTTTTACCATTTCAGGTAATAAATTTCATTAAGATACTAGGTATCTTTTAAAAAGTACATACTAGATAATTCCACTTATATGAAATTCTAAAAAATGATAGAAACCAGATTAGTGGCTGCCTAGGGGAACAAGGAAACTTTGGGGGGTGATGGAAGTTTTCCGTATTTTGATGTGGTGGTGGTACATCTGCCCAAATTAAAATGTGTACTTTAAACAGGAGCAGTTCACTGCATATAAATAATATCTTAATAAAATCCTTTAAAGAAAAATAAAAGCAGTATGTGTCTCACCAGTCGCTTGCTGTACAGTAGTGCTGTGCTGCTGCCACTTGCAATTGCCCAATTTGTGAAGTTCATAACGTGCTTCACCTGCCGGGAAAGGCCTGTGATGTCATTCTGCTGCTGTAGTAACTTCATCTGTCTTTCTTTTGTAACATTCTGAAATAGAACAAGAGCTTCACTGAAGAATTCTATATGAAAAAAAAATCAACCCCAAGTTTCTAATGCAAATAGACACAATACCTATACTTCCTTTAAAAATGGGATAAGTGAATAAGCTCCATGATTATTTAGCTAGCCTATCATCAATCAGAGGAAAAGCCACTAACAAAAGTGGAACTAAAACTTAGTTCTCTTAGCTAAAAAGGATATTCCACATATAGAAATTAATGTTAAGTTACTGTCTGTTTTCTACGAACACATGCCTGTTAAAAATAGTTTCTTCCTATTAGGTTAATCTACAAATACAGTATTTATAGCATAAGGAGCTAACTTTAGAAATAAACTTATGTAATCTTAACTCTATAGGTAAAAAAATTTTGTGTCACCAGTGCCACCTCCTGGTGTGGCATAAGAATGAAGTTAAAATCTCTCTTAAATATCCAAAACAAATGAAAAAGATAACTTCCAGAGTTCTAAAAGCAGAATTAAGGAAACTTTTGATATGACAGAAGTTCATAAAGAACAAAGAAGTGAGGACTGACCAAACTGGAAAAACCAATTTCAGAGAAACACTACAAAGGAAAAATAAACTGCTTTATGGGAACTAATATCACCCCAGGAGGGACAGATAATGTCCTACATACTTTTGAAATTCAGAATGCTAAACAACTCATCTACTTGTTTCTTAAGAACTTTCTCCCAAAAAAAACTCAAGTTGGCTTTCTGGACAGTATTTTTCCTAAGGAAAGAAGTTGTTTATTTTATAATGTAAATCAATGGATAAAAGTATTCAAATGACAGAAGTCTGGTTTATTACACTCCTTTTGTAAAGCTTAGGAAAATGTCTCTTCTACAAAATGTATGGACATACTACACTAGAAAACATCTATTTTTAAAATTATCATGTTAGTAGTATGTGGTGTATTTATCATTAGTTATTGGCATACAAGTTAGCCTTAAGAGGCTTTTTTTTTTTTTTTTTTTGAGACAGGTTCTCACTCTGTCCTCCAGGCTGAAGAGCAGTGGTGCAATCCTGGTTCACTGCAAAGTCCACTACCCAGACTCAAGGAATCTTAAGAGGCATCCTTTAATTCAGAAACTCTTGAAAGGTTTTTACAAATACTACTTTAGACATACAGCTAAAATGAATTTGCAGTAAGTTTAAGTGTATCAAAAATAGTTACTAAGTGCTCTCTACTCACATGGGTCCTTCTGGGGGAAAAAGAATCTATTAGGGTTAAATGCAACAGACTGGTGTGCAGTAGGAAAGGAACCCCACAACTTTAACAATCTGCACAAGAATATTTTTCTTTTTCTTTTTTTTTTTTCTTTGAGACAGAGTCTTGCTCTGTCACCCCGGCTGGAATGCAATGGTGCAATCTTGGCTCACTGCAACCTCTGATTCCTGGGTTCAAGCAATTCTCCTGCCTCAGCCTCCCAAGTAGCTGGGATTACAGGCGCACACCATCATGCCTGGCTAATTTTTGTATTTTTTTTAGTGGAGACAGGCTTTCACCATGTTGGCCAAGCTGGTCTCGAACTCCTGACCTTGTGATCCTCCTGCTTCAGCCTCCCAAAGTACTGGGATTACAGGCATGTGCCACTATGCCCAGCCAAGAGTACTTTTAATCTCACAAACTGTGTTTCACTGGAAAGATGTATTCCATTTAGAGATAACATTCTGCTGACATAATCTGATTTGTATGCAACTATGTGCCTAATATTTTTAAAGGGTTCTATGAAGAGATAGGACAGAAAAAAAAAATCAACAATTTGAAGTTAATGGAAGTACAGTAGTCACATATATCATTTCATTATTACTATTCAAAGCTGCAGAAAAAATAATCCCCTTATCATTTGAGCCTAGTTAAGAGCATGAAATTTTTAATCAGGAAACATTTTTCTTTGAAAAACTTTAATTTCCCAGAAAACTCACATCTGAAATTTGCTAAAAATAAATCAAATGGGCAGTAGAGTCCTTGATTAAAAATTAAGATTTCACAAACTGACTAGATTTTCATCTAGAAACTTACATCTACAAATTAACCTCAAAATATGCAACATAAATACCTAGTATCACAAAATTATCACTAAGTTTAAGGTTTACAAATTTCAAAATAAGCAGGATTTTCTGCAAAACTATGGAAATATTTTTAAAATAAGGTGAAACACACAAATGACTCAAGCAGAAGCCCAACATGCATCTAAATAGAAAAGTTAAATTTTGAGGCCCCATCTTAAGGGGGTGGGGAAGAAATGTGGTGGGACTGCTTTGCCTTCATGTACATCACATTTTAGTAACATTTCTTCTTTCTTTTCATTTTGGAGACAGGGTTGCACTCTGTTGCCCAGGCTGGAGTGCAGTGACACAATCACAGTTTATTGCAGCCTTGACCTCCTGGGCTCAATCGATCCTCCCATGTAAGCTTCCCAAGTAGCTGTGACTACAGGCACATGCCACCACCCTTGCTAATTTTTAATTTTTTTGTAGAGACAGGTTTCGCCATGTTGCCCAGGTTGGTCTGGAACCCAGGGCTCAAGCAATCTGTCTGCCTTGGGCTCCCATAGTGTTGGGATTCCAGGCATGAGTCACCGTGCCCAATCCTTAGTAACAATTATTAGATTTCTAAGAGGATATCACTATCTCCTAAGGTATACAGCTAAAGTCAGTGTTATTAAATTGGGCTGCACAAGTAACTAACTAGAAAAGGTCTCTTTTCCAAAAATAAATTTTAAAAACCTTATTTTTAATTTTTTATTTCCATACCCCCCAACCCATCTAAAAGAGTTTTCAATAAACATTAAAAACAGCTAAAGAGCAAGAGAAGCAGTTTTTGTTTTATTTTGGCTTTGAACCATACCTCTAGCTGCTGTAAGAGAGATTTTCCTTTCTTATTAATTTCATTGATAAGGGTGAAAATGGCCACTTTAATTTCCTGTTCTACTCGTTTGTTAGTCTCATTTACTTCTTTTATCCTGAATAAGAGAAATGCATCATTAGGTTATCAACTTATCCTAGGTCTCTGAATCATCAACTGTTACAGAAATTCATCCAACTGGGCACTTTGAACAGAGTAATTAAAATGAAAGCTTTGTCAAAATGTACAACTTATGTTTCAGCAGACCTGACCACTCAATTTGGTCCAAACAAGTTATGTATACAGACAAAGAATGAAATTAATATTTAGTAATTTTAAATTATGCTCATAAAGGCCAGGTTTTGCTGGATGGCAATCTCCTTAAGTAACTATGACATAAATATGATGCACAAACACCAGTGATTGCCGGTTAGTGTCCAATGTGGCACATTGGTTCTGTTTAGTCTTGATGCTTTCCAAGAACAATGTGCAAAAGGACAATGTCACATGCAATAATTATCTTTTGAAAGGGTAAGAGTTAAATGTAGAAGCATTTATTTTCATTTATAACTTAGCCGCTTCCAACATGGATTCTGATATACTCCCTTAAAAATTACTCTCAAAGTGGTTTCCTATTGTATACAATAAAGGGCATAAAACATTTTCAATCCATTTTTAAGAGTAGCTATTAGATGTTTTAGAAATAGGTGTAAGCACTCAAAGCAGTTATGGAAATTTTAGGTGCAAATATGAAGTGGTTGATATGTTGGTATTTATAAAACAGGAAGTAGAGAATCCCACCAATATAAATATATAAAATGTCAACCACTAACCATAAGACGTAGCCTTCAGTTTTTATACATTCTACTTCTGTAAAAACCATAACCATGCTTTCAGGTCCTAAACTGCCTTTCATTTGCCAAGTTTGAATTGAGTAACTTTAATACACTCCAAGTAATCATGTAGTTTTTTCCTCCTCTGTACATCATTTGGCACTTACTTGAAAATTTTGAGTTCAGTCCTTATCTTACTAAGTTGAGTGGAAGACATTTTTAAAAACATATAAAGGTACTAATAACTACTGATAAGAAATATAGGTTTCAACTGTAAAATGACTGAGTCGAAGATAGAAATCAGTAAGCATTTAGCATCTCTGCTGAAAGCAGAGAGCAGTTAGCCTCAGGCAGACTCTACTGAACTTAACCATGTATACTGTATGCTCAATTTAGAAGAAAGAAAAAAACGCACATTAAAAAATAATGGAGATAGGTCAGTGAAAAATGGGTCTAAAAGGCGAAGTTATCATTAGACATTTTAATACTGTTTTTTAAAAAACTTTCTACAGATGAAATCAATCTCCTCAACCCTGTGCAATCTTGTAACAGGTAAACCTCCTGCTCTCCTTCTGTACACACATTCTGGAAGACATATACAAAATGTATTTAAAAAGTACAATGTACATAGAAAACATCCGTATAAAGACACGGGACTGCCGTTATGAATCAACCGACTGTATTTCCTTGAAGAGAGACGCCAGCTACCATTTCTGAGAAAAAGTCATCCTCTCCAATCAATCGTTATCACCAGTTTAACCTAAAACAACTGAACATTTCCAAAACACCAAAAACAAAAACCCACCAGTGTGTGTGTGTGTGTGTGTGTGTGTGTGTGTGTACAATCAAAAAGCTCTGAGCTTTTTATTTTCTTTTAGTGTTAGTTCTTAACATAAAAAGTTCTACCATGTGTAAAGTACTTTTCTCACTAATTCATTCAATTATTTAATACTTTTGAGCATCTACTATGTGCCATTTAAATAAATTAATTTTAATATTCATTAGAAGTCCTAATATTTGTGAGACTATACAAATAAACACATATTAACCCTAATAACCCCCAGGAATTTTAGTTTAAATTATGCCAGCTCAAAGTGTTTGCCTTTCTGGTGTTTAAGGGTTATAACTCTGTTAATTTGCTCTCTCAGGGAACTTACTCTCACTTATCAATAAATTTATTTAGAAATACACCAAAGTAGAACAATTTTTTAATAATAATGATGATGGTAATTATAAATATAATAGCAGCAGCTAAAATCTAAGTGCTTACTATATGCAAGAAACTGTATCACGTGTTCATCCCATAATGCTATTCATAAGATAAGCACTGTTTTTAATGCTTGTTTTACAGGTGGGGAAATAACTTGTCCATCAGTGATACTTTCTTCTCTACATTGTATCTTCCACACAATCCATTTTAAATTGTATAATTCAACTCTTTCAATATTAACTTTTTTTCCAAATTTAAGGTTTAACATAGACTAGAGTCTTATTAATTATAAAACAGTCAAAGATGTGTCCTAAAAGGGTACACAAAAGTTTGGTCAATTAAATTTTGCTTAATTAACAATTATAATCCAAAATTCATATCATTTTTCCCTCAAAAAAATATTTTCTTTATATGCTTAATGTATTAAAAGGAAAACAGATTTAAACTGGACCAACTTCTCTTTAATAATTCTAAAATAAAATTATGGCTTTAAGGCAATAAACTCACCTATTCTGCACCTGAGTAGCTGCAAAATGAACGTAATTCTTCTTCTCAAGAAGTTTAGCCAGTAGATTTTCAATTGCACCTTTCTGATTTTGAAAAGCTTCTTCCAAAAACTGGTACCTTAAAACCAGAACAAAACTACATTTAAAACAAAACATTTATGAAGAACAGCTACAGAAGTGAACCTTGAAACCTTAATTAAGTGATCAACTCTCTATGCTGGCCACTCATACCTAATCTCAATAGTAACTTTTAGTTGGCAACCTCCAACTCTGACCCTGAAAGGTCATTATGAAAGAAAAAATTACTCACATAATGGTTGAGTTGGTCTTATATTAGAGCTTTGATTCAGGATTACATCTTTTTAAAAATTCAAATATTGGCTAAGTTATATATATTTTAAATCATAAAACATAACCACATTATAGAAAATACTATAAAGGGAAGGGAAATCACCCATAGTTCCAACATCACAAAATCACAAAATCACTGCTACCACTGTAATATATAGTTCCTTAATCTTTTAATTATGCATTTACTTATTTACTTTTTTTTTTTTTTGAGACAGGCTGCACTACTGCACTCTGTTGCTCAGGCTGGAGTGCAGTAATGCAATTTAATGGAGACAAGGTCTCACTATGTTTCCCAGGCTGATCTCAAATTCCTGGTCTCAAGTGATCCTCCTGCTACCACATGTGGCCTAACTATGCATTTTTAAATGTAATAATAATAACAATAAACATGCAAATATACATCTGGCTTTTATTCTTTATCTTGTCTTTATAATTACGCTAAAATAATTTTTCAGTTCTGAATGCCATGTACTGTCAAACTTTCCACAAGGGTTATATCAACATAAAACATCACCAACACCAGTTTAATTTTAACTTTGTCAGCATGGGTGCTATATGTTAACATTTTCTAATTGTAATAGTAAAAATACACACTCCAGTAACATTTCTTTGGATTCTAGGAAGCTAGAATAATAGTTTTGTTTCTTAGTTCTATTTCATTTTGTAAATAAAGGCCGGATGTGGTAGCTCACGCCTGTAATCCCAGCAATTTGGGAGGCCAAGGTAGATCACCTGAGGTTGGGAGTTCGAGACGAACCTGACCGACAAGGTGAAACCCCATCTCTACTAAAAATACAAAAATTAGTCAGCATGGTGGTGCATGCCTGTAATCCCAGCTATTTGGGAGGCTGAGATGGGAGAATTGTTTGAACTCAGGAGGCAGAGGTTGCAGTGAGCCGAGATCACACCACTGCACTGCACTCCAGCCAGCCTGGGCAATGAAGAAAGACTCCATCTCAAAAAAAAAAGGTACGAATACAAAATGATACCATACTGTGACAAGAGACATAATTCAGGTATATATAATCTACAAGAAACCACTGCCTAAATCAGACTCAATACCAAGGAAAGCAAAGCATCACAAAGAAGTAAGAATAGCATCTTATGCTAGGTACATAGACATCTTTGAGGCACATAAATACTTCAATATGGCCAAAGAAAAATATTCGAAAGTCAGAATATGAGACAATAACTGATAAAATCCAGAGGCAAACTGTGAAAGGCCAAGTATACCACGCTATTTGTGCATTTCATTCTCTAAGTAATGGAAAACCTCTGAAGAATTCTAACTAGACTGTAATAATCACGCTTACATTCTAGGAAAATCATCACACAGAAATATAAAAGACCCAAAGAAGGGAATAGAAGGGAAAGACCAGCTAAAACTCTAAGACAGTAGCTTATATGAGAGATCAGGGTATAGTACTGGTTGGTACAGCCAAACAAGCTGGAACTGGCTTTGACAATGAGATCAGCAGATTTGAGAGGTTATGTGTCAGTTACACCAAGGTCCATGGTACAATCTGAAAACTGAATGTCTAGCTAAGGCACACTCAAAAACCAAATCACTGGAAATGAGGAGTTCACAATTACTGTGTAATTGACTATATGGGCACTGAAATCACAAAAGTAAAGACAGAAACACTATGAGCATCTAGATGTCTGCTGTTTCTTCAGTGGAAGTCTCAGCTAAGGTAGACAATAGGGAAGACTATGAAACTGTTAACATAAATAAAAGTTTGTTAAGATAAAGGGAAGTTTTCTTAGTAGTGGGATACAAAAGGCACAGGAAGAATGGAGGACAGTAGGAGAGAAAATGTATAGCAATATGGGAATTTCTCTTAGAGAAAACAGCTGGTGCACTGATTTTACTGTGGTAAAATATACATAATAAAATTTACCAGTCTGAACTTTTCTTTTGAGACAGGGTCTCACTCTATCGCCCAGGACAGACTGCACTGGAACCATCACAGCTTACTGCAGCCTCAAACTCATGGGCTCAAGCAATCCTCCTGCATCATTCTCCTGGGTAGCTGGGACTACAGACACATACTCTTTTTTTTTTTTACTTTTTTGTAGAGATGAAGTCCTGCCATATTGCCCAAGCTGGTCTTGAACTACTGGTCTCAAGTAATTCTCCTGCCTCAGCCAAAGTGCTGGGATTACAAACATGAGCTACCATGTCCGGCCCAATTTTACCATTTTAAAGGGGAGTATTTTTAAAGCTCAACTGTCTACAAAGTTGAGCAACATTCTAACTTGTATAAGATATTAACAGCATAAAAAAGCACATGAGTATTTTAAGATTCTTTTTTTTTTGAAATGGAGCCTCCCTCTGTTGCCCAGGCTGAAGTGCAGTGGCATGATCTTGGCTCATGCAGCCTCTGCTCCTGGGTTCAAACAATTCTCCTCCTCAGCCTCCCAATTAGCTGGGACTACAGATCTACACCACCACACGTGGCTAATTTTTTTATTTTTAGTAGAGACGGGATTTCACCATGTTGCCCAGGTGGATCTTGAACTCCTGACCTCAGGTGGTCCGCCGGTCTTGGCCTCCCAAAGTGCTGGGATTACAGGTGTGAGTCACCACACCCGGCAAGAAACTTTTAAAGAGGCTTTACTATTGGATAGGGGAACCAAAATTTTTTCCTTCATTAAAGAGCAACATTTGAATCATACTATGATTTCTCTACATCCAATAAAAACTATTCCTATGTTAAATCTGAACAAATAAAGCAGAAATATGAGGATTCCATGCTAACCCTTTTGACTTAAGCTTTATTTACTTTGTGATGAAAAAGCAACCTTTTTGAAGGAGAATTTGATCATGTCAACAAATAGGCATTTGGTAGAAAGTTTAACTAGTATCGAAATTCACAAAATTCTAACTCATAAAAATTTAACCTTGTATAAATTCTTCTTATCCTAAAATAAATATTTTTCAAAGTCCTATTTCTAAATATATCTAATTACATTCATATGAACAAGAAACAAGCAAACATGTCATTTTCCTAAATATGATATACCTAGGTAAACTGATTTTTCTTTATATAATCAAAAAATTACAGCTGAAATGAGAAGGAAAAATAACCAACAAATGAATTAAATGTTGTTTTGATTAATATGTAAATATCTCAAAGTAACTTCTTAGATTTTAATCTTGCATTTTAAAGTAGTAATTTCCTCCCCCCATCCCCTGCCCCACAGACAAAAGTCTCACTTTATCACCAGGTTGGAATGCAGTGGTGTGATTTCGGCTCACTGCAACCTCCACCTCCCGGGTTTGAGCTATTCTCCAGCCTCAGCCTCCTGAGTAGCTGGGACTACAGACGCTCGCCACCACACCCAGCTAATTTTTATATTTTAAGTAGAGATGGGGGTTTCACTGTGTTGGTCAGGATGGTCTCAATCTCTTGACCTCGTAATCTGCCTGCCTCAGCCTCTCAAAGTGTTGGAATTACAGGCGTGAGCCACTGCACCCAGCCTAAAGTAATAATTCTTAATGTGGGCTTTCTCAGTCACAGCGAACTATTCTCCATATTTCAAATAAGTAAAATAAAGTAAAAATTATGTATGCCCAGGATTTAGTTAGGACAGGCTAAGTAAAACTTTTTATGCTTCTGGCTAAAATGATATAAACTTGTATAATTATCTGATTTTGATCAGAATTAATCAGCATGCTTAGTTTTAATTATTGAAAAAACATATTTCAGTTTTGTAAGAAGTTTATGAAAATATGGTGCTCTTGAGTAAAGGGTGGGAGATAAATAATAAAAGGGTGTTTTCTGTTGGGCACAGTGGCCCACACCTGTAAGTCCCAGGTACTTGGGAGGCTGAGGTAAGAGGACCAATTGAGCCCAGGAGTTCAAGGCCAGCCTGGGCAACATACATACATTCATACATGTATACATACATACATGCTGGGTGTTTTTTATTTTTATAACATAGATTCATTTTATTTCATTTAACATTTTTAAAGAATTTTTTGGTGCCAATAAGTTTTCCTCAAAAACATGTTTTATAGTATAGATGAGTTACAATTTCTTCAATTCCTCCCCTTTTCAATGTTTCTAATTTTTTCACTGGTATAAAAATGACCAAGGAGAAAATCCATGCACATATCAAACTGTTAGGATGTAATAAAGTTACTATTATTTTTTCCTAGTTTTGCTTGCCTTTAATTTATTCAGGGTTTCTTTTGATGTACGGAAATGTTGCATTTTGTCTTATTCCGGGAGATAAATGCTTCTCTATCACTTTTTTTTTCCCGTGGCCAGAAAGGTGATTCTCAGTCTCAGATTTCTATTTCCTTCTAGTGCTTAAAAGGATTCTTGTTTTCAGTTCTATCCTTAAGCTAGGTGGTAGTTATTTAATATTCCAAGTTGCTAAGCTGTGTTTCCATTCTCATTTATTGAATGACCCTTCATCTTTAGCCATAAATATTTGATGCCATTACCATACTCCACAGCTTTTAAAATGAAAATTTTTTTGTTAGCATCTCTGAGATCTGGGTCACCTTTCAGTCTCCAGTACCTAAAGATCTTTGTTGGCTTGGTGTGTAGGCCACTTCTTCCTGGGAAGTTTTGGATTTGCTTATGCTATCATCTGCGGACACTATGGACCTGAGACCACTTCAGGTTCCAGCCTGAAGTTCCTTTGGACTTCACACTGCAACACTGTGTGGGCACTGACTCAGGGGAGACATATGTTCTTCCCTCCACCCAGTGCAAAGGTTAAGATGCAAATGCATTTCTTTTGATCTGTTTC